TCAAATGTTGAACCCTGTGGTCACACTGCTATTGGGTGATGAAACCTGAGGTGGATCCCTTTACTTCAAGTTCAGTACTGTGCTTTTCCCCTATGCCAGGCTCTATTAATCTGTTAATTCAAAAAAAAACAAAATGTAGGGGCTAGCCCTGTGGTGTAGTGGTCAAGTTCAGTACGCTCTGCTTCATCGGCCCTAGTTTGCGGGTTTGGATCCTGGGTGCAGACCTACAACCACCTGTCAGCCATGCTGTGGCAGTGACCCACATATAAAGTAGAGGAAGACTGGCACAGATGTTAGCTCAGGGCGAATCTTCCTCAGCAAAAAAAAAATTTGGTTTAAAAAAATTAAAAAATAAAAAACAAAATGTAACATGCAGACATCAAAAAGAGAAGCATCTGAGGACTGAGATTTTTGTATATGCAGTGCTAGCTCAGTGCTCAGCGCATTGTAGGTGCCAGACAGTCTACAGATACCGAGGAACGTATAGATGAACACCCCAGGCCTCTGGATCAATAACTAAACTAGGCAGAGTAGTAAATATTTCAAAGCATTAGTCAGACAACTGGTCTCCTAGGAGGAGCAGCAGAAGCCTGAAAGAGAAAACAGGAAAAAAAAGAAACTCAAAACAACAGAATGAAGGGTTGAGAAGGAACATAACATACAAACCAAGCCCTATAAAAATAACTACACTTACATGCAAGATTTGGGTGAAATAAAAGCTAATACAGAAGAGAATCAAGTCCCTGAATTGATGTTTCTCCAAAGAAGATCTGCACGTGATCTTCACTTGAAAAGATGCTCAACATTATTAGTCATTAGGGAAATGCAAATCAAACCCACAATGAGATGCCAGTTCATGCCCACTAGGATGGCAATTAAAAACAAAACCATGGAGAATAACAAGTGTTGGTGAGGATGTGGAGAAACTGGACCCCTCACACACTGCTAGTGGGAACGTAAAATGATACAGCTACCGTGGAAAACAGTTTGGTGAATCCTCAATAGAATTACTATAGTACGCAGGAATTCCACTCTTAGGTATAGACCCAAAAGAACTGAAAACAAGCATTCAAACAAAAACTTGTATACAAATGTTCATAACAGCACTACTCACAATAGCCAAAAGGTGGAAACAACCCAAATGTCCACGAACTGATGAATGGGTAAACACATTGCAGTATATCCATACAATGGACTATTAGTCAGCCATAAAAAGGAATGAAGTCCTGGTACATCCACAACATGGAGGAATCCTGAAAGCATTAAGTGAAAGAAGCCAGACACAAAAGGACACATAGTGTATGATTCCATTTATCTGAAATATCCAGTACAGGCAAATCCATAGAGATAGAAAGTTGATTAGTGGTTGTGAAGGGCTGGGGAGGGGAAAATGGGGAGTGACCGCTAATGGGTGCAGAGTTTCCTTTTGGGGTGATGAAAAAGTTCTAGAACTAGACTGTGGTGATGGTGGCACAACATTGTGAATGTACTTTTTCTTACACTTTAAATATGTGCAGTTTATTGAATGTCATAAAAGTAAAGAGTTTAGATATTTAAGATAGTTAAGTAAAGATATTTAAAAGAAAATAAAAAGGATGGGAAAAGATACATCAAGCAAATATTCACAACAGCAACAATAAAAAGATCACTTTTGGCTACATTACATCAGGCAAAATAGACTTTAAGCCAAAATTCTCACTAGTGATAAATGTAATGATGTAACGATAAAAGTTCAATTCCTATTAGATATTGTATGTCCAACAACATAAACTTACAAATGCATATTGTTAGATATAAAAATATAAAGTTGTATGCACACACAGTCTCAGAATATTTTTTAGCTCAAAATATAAGGCGACATTGACAAATTCCTCATTATAGTGGGGTCTTTCAATATACCTCTCTCAATTATTGACATGTTAAGTAGACACAAAGTCAGTGAGGAATAATGCAATTAATAAGGTTCATTTAATGGATATCTGTAGACCTCCACAGAAAAAAAATGAAAGAAAATACATTCTTCTCAATCACATATAATGTGAATGTACTTAATGCCACTGATTTGTTCACTTTAAAACGATAACTTTACTATTATATGTATTTTACTACAATAAAAAAATAAAGAGAATTATGTCTTCACAGTGCTGGGATCTTTGGAAATGTCCAGTCTGAAGACATATATTCATAAAGAGCTATCAGATCCCTCTTCAATTAGGCGGAATGTTCTGCCCTGCACATGCCTTCACCACAATCCTGACTGCACGGACTATGAACTCAGCAACTACTTTCTTTTTTTTTTTTTTTTTTAAGATTTTATTTATTTATTTTTTCCCCCCAAAGCCCCAGTAGATAGTTGTATGTCATAGCTGCACATCCTTCTAGTTGCTGTATGTGGGACTCGGCCTCAGGATGGACGGAGAAGTGGTGCCTCGGTGCGCGCCCGGGATCCGAACCCGGGCCACCAGCATCGGAGCGCGTGCACTTAACCACCAAGCCACAGGGCCGGCCCCACTACTTTCTTAAAACAGGTTTCAAGATTGATGCTGCGAGTCTAGAAGGGGAACAGCGGCATCACTGGGGGTGTGGCCTCACCGTGGTTCCCCAGAGGCCGTCCTCATGATTCCACTATATTGGTAACCCCACCGTGTCAACGTGAACAAAGCCTTTTCGACCACGGCCAGCAGACTCGCTCAGAGATCTGAGAGGCGAACGCTGCAGCCTATCGGAGATAGAGGTGCCCAGAGCATCCTCCTTAGCACACACAGGCAGCCAGGACGCCACCACCACCACCACCACCAGAAAGGGCAATGGAAACGGAAACGAGATGCTGCCCTTCACCAGCCAAGGAGCGAGCTCAAGTTCGGGATGCTCCTAGGATTTCCTGGCTCCTACCCCTGAATGGCCCCCATGCCGCTGGCGGCTGTCCCACAACCTTGTACATAAGCTGCACGCTGTCCCCCAGTCTGAGCTCTTCTCCACGCCAGCCTTTCACCTCTCTCCCATCAGGTCTCTGCCTTGTGTAGTTATTTGAGATGATCTTTAGAATCAATGCAGGGTGCCAACTCCTGGCTCCTCAGGTGTCTTGAGAACTTTGGAACCAGGGCCAGGTGTATCTTCAGCTCCTGATGAAGGCTTACCTGATCTGGTTTTAATCAGTTTGGGCCGCGTGGCTGTTATCTAGGTATGTTTGTGTGCCCAATGACTAGCTCAGTTCTCAGCACCCTGGGGGTGGTCGAATGAATTAAGGAACACGCAGAGCTTGCATTCAAATAGGCAAATCCCCCTGCCACAAGGGGGGACATCACAGAGTCAAACACATGCAAATTGTCTTAAAAGCATCTCTCCTCTTTCCAGCCTTCTCTAAATTATCACTCTTATTTTGGCCTTCTGATTTCTAGTGATGGAGAAAATGTATTACTTTTACATTATCAGCATCGAAAATTTTCAAAGAAAAGCTCATTTGAAGTGCTGTGACCCAGGAATCTGTCCAGTCACTTCCAAATGCCTATTTCTGGCCTGGGCAAGAAAAGACACAAGATTCCATACATACACCGTCAAGTTTGGCAAGAGAGTTTCTAGACAACTTCCATCTTTCCCACCCAGTCCCAAGTAAATAGGGCATTTGTTTGTATTTCCACATGGGCCTCATGAACGAAAATACCTCCTCCACCTAGAAAAACAATCAGTAACATTCAGACATGGAACTTTGAGGGCAAACCTTTTCATGCATGCTAGAGCACTACGAATGTGGTGCTTAAAAAAAAATAAAGTATCTTTAATAAACGTTTCTGCTGTGAACATTTTCCTCAAGTTTACACTTATACGTGGTTTGGTGTTTCTATACCTTTCAGAAATACAGATTTAAAAAAAAAATTGTTCTCCATTAAAATTGGAGCCAGAAGGAACTTTCTTCCTACAGTTCCCAGCAACAGGCCTGAACGTTTTACTCTGTTTAGGGGGAAAAAGACACAAAAAATCATTTTCCTTTACTCGCTTGAAGTTTTCTGCTCTGCACCAACTAGGTCCTGGCAAAGAGTTAAAAGTTTTCTGAGGTTAGTTCCTGCGGTTAAAAAAAAAAAAAAAAAAAAGCTAGATGCTTAAATTTAGACTCGGTAAAACAATACTGGGAAACTTTCAAAGCCTTGGAGAAATACTGGAGTTTATTTTATTGCCTTTTGTTAAATTGCATCACATCGGCCACATTTTCTTCTCTTTTTTTAATCCCTCCCGCCCCGGCTCCCCGGGAAATTCACAAGTTCCCGCGTGGTTCAGTTACCTGTTGGGGTCGGGGAGCGGGGGTGGGGACGAAAATCTACTGGTCACTTTGCGCAGGACTCAAGTTTAACAGGTGGCTTTGGTCACCTCTTGCCAATATTGGCTCCCACCCTCCTCTCCGCGGCGCGAGGGACAGAGCTCCGGGAATTCGGGGGCCGCGGCGGCAAGTGGGGCGACGGGTCCCTCGCACGGCTCGGGGAAGGGCGGTGGGGACAGGCGAGGGGTGTTAGGGACAACCCAGACCGCTCTGCGCCCAAAGCTGAACACGCGCCCCCGACCACCGTGCGCCCCCCAAAAGGACAACCTCGGAGCCGGAAAATGCCGCGTTCTCTCCCCCGCCCCCGACTCGGGGCGCTCGCGAACCCCTGAAATCCCAAAGGAGGCACCGGGCTTCCCGTGTGCGAGGCCCCCGGGTCGACGACAGTCCCTCGGATTGCGCCAGAATCTTCCCTAACTTCCAGGGGCCGGGGGAGCGATGTGTTGGAGAGGGAGCGCGCAAGGAGAGATCGCGCAGACGGGGCACTGGCAGGGAGGCGTGGGAAGCGCAGACAGGGGGGCACAAAAAGAGGGGTGACCCTTCTCTACCTGAGACCCACCCGAGCCCAAGCCTCCTTCTGCGGACTCCAAGCGCCGCCCCGCTCCCCGCCGTGCCAGGCGGGGCACCGGCTGGCCAGGGCGCCTCCCGGCGCTCTAACCCTGTCCAGGACCCCAAAGTCCGCACTCACCCGGCGGGAGTCCCCTCCTGGGGGACCGCAAGTGCCCACCTGGACGGCCACCCGGAGCCCTCGCGCCGCCTGCTAGCCGGTCAGCCCCGCGCGCGCCTTGC